ATATATATATATATATATATATGTGTGTGTGTGTGTGTGTGTGTGTGTGTGTGTGTGTGTGTGTGTGCATGCACGCATGTGCATCCAAGTGCATTATTTTATACAGTCATGCGAATAAAAATACATGATACAGTTCTTACCTTTGCTTAATGGTCTGAAGTCAACACATTTAACACTGCTATAGTGTCCCTTAAAAGAAACCAATTTCTGAGAGGAAGGAACATCCCACAATATCAGATTCAAGTCAGCAGAAGCTGTCACTAGCTTAGCTTCTTTGGGCATCCAAGAAATATCAAAAACTGCATTGTTGTGAGCTTTCCAACCTGTAAGAATAGCATGTTCTTCCTGCACACTACAATTCATTCACTAACAACTATCACACAGTCAGTACTCTTTTCATATAGTTAAAAATAACATTTCAGAAATGTGACTAATCAGCCTGAACACACAAATTAATGAATATTAGCAAAAATATTTCACTACATTTTGATTCTAAATGGTTCCATTTGACTTAAATACAAATAAACATATAAAATGTTACTAATCTCTATACATTTATAAAGACATAATTCAGTTCTCTCTCATATGAATAATTTGTTGTTTTCTTGTCTGTCTATGAAACTAATAGTTCAAGCAATAGAGTACGTTTTCTCAAGAGATCAGTATATTTACTCTATTATTGTAATTTATGTTCAAAGGCATTTTAAAAATGTAGAGACAATTTAGATAAAATTATCATTACCAGATAAAAATCAGACTTTAAACAGTAATGTTCAATTACCTCTTAGTAAAAAGTTAAATTCCAAATCTTGATTTTGTACACCCATTATGTTTATTGTAACCCCACTCCCAAAGAAAACATTTCACAGCCACTGTATCACTACTTTTCAATATGTTGATAGCATTCATAGACATTGACAGGAATAATCAGCAATTTAGTGCAACTTACTTGTCAAACACCCACTTTTAATTTTCTTATTTGAGTCAAGAATAAAAACATCACCATCCTCACTAGCCACAGCAACAAGGTGTTCATCACCTGGTACACCCATTATGTTTATTGTAACCCCACTCCCAAAGAAAACATTTCACAGCCACTGTATCACTACTTTTCAATATGTTGATAGCATTCATAGACATTGACAGGAATAATCAGCAATTTAGTGCAACTTACTTGTCAAACACCCACTTTTAATTTTCTTATTTGAGTCAAGAATAAAAACATCACCATCCTCACTAGCCACAGCAACAAGATGTTCATCACCTGGAACTATAAATGTACATGCCAATTAAAAATCACACATTATACAAACACAACTAATGAAAAAATTTATTCAAAGCAAAAGGCCTATAGCTATGTTTGGTAATATTAATGACATAATCTAATGTTTAAAATTCAATTATATTTACAGCTTTTAATTAAACATTTATATTATTAATCATATTTGTTACATTATAATGTAAACATAACAATGTATTGTTTATGGAAGAAGTACAGTAAATTATATACCAACAGTTCTGAATCTGTAATCCATAAAAATGTTGTACCAGAAAGGAAAAAGTGGCACAGTGTACAGATCTCATTGTGGTCTGCTCAGATAGAATATAAAAACTCAGTTGATCTATGAACAAAACAGTTTGAGAACTATTGGTTTATACCTTTCTGTACTCTTAATTTCTATTATTTTTAATGTATGATTTTAAAATTTAAATTGTATATCTTTTCAAATCCAATAATTGCAATCATGATTGACTTAAAAATCAATACTTAATAATTTATAAAAGTTATGAATAAGCAAAACATTTGCTAATATGCATACTACAAACCTATTGAAAAAATTTTACTACTATGCAAAAGATGTTTTTTTATAGTATTTCTTTATAAAACAGAATCTTGTTCATAGATTCTTAAAACCCTCACCTGTACAAAACTTGCAGGCAAGAGGTGGGACTTCTCCTTCCTGAAAAAGGAGAATATGTAGTGTAGTCTTTCTTTGTAATGTTGTTTAAAAAAAGGCTTCTGGTTTCAAAATATTTATTTAACTTAATTCTATTGTAGAAAAATCTACTAGTCCTTAAGAATCTACGTGCCCCATCTCCATTAGAGAAAATACACACGGAAAGAGTAGAATATAACTTTAAAGATTTTGCTTTCATCGTTAAGGAAAATTCTTAATCATATATTTTACTACATACAGAAAAATACATATCCTTTTAATTCACAAACCCTTGGTCACAAACAGTAACAAACATATTTAAATGAATGCAACATTATTATAACATTATTTTTCACCCCAGAAGGAGCCCAGTAAAGTTTGATTGTCACCTCTAATAAAAATTAGAAATTGTATTTCAGTTTGTGGTAGCATTAATGTAAACCATGATTTCTTTATCAGTTAATACACTGTAAAATCCTAATAGCCTAAATGTTAAAAACTATAAAAAACAGAACAAATATACATGGAATGTAGAGCCAAAATGTAACATGTCATTTCCAACAAACTGAGCTGCCAATTGCACTGCATGTATAGGTTTGGTTTGAGGTTTAGAGGTATGCATTATTAAATGTTCATTTTTTTGTGCTAGGCTTCCATGGTTCATAATTTTGAGGAACTTGCATAGCTCCTGAGAAATGTACCTGGAGTGCATTTCTTGCAGTAGAATGAATAATGTGAAAACAAAACAAAAAACTACTTGTCTACTCATAAAATTTGTTGTCCTTGAAACAAAGCTTTAACCCCAGGTATCAGGCAATATATATTCCAAATTCCTAAAACTAAAAAACTAGGACCATATTTACTGAAGTAAAAATTACAAATCCTATAAAAAAGAAAATTCCCTGGGTTATACTTTAAAAAATTAAGTAAAACCTAAAATCATAATTATTTTTTATTAAATTTGTGTGTAATTTAAAATGCTAATCTCAACAGGATTCAACAATGCATTGACTTACATACATTTTTCCATAACAATCTTTACTAAACCCATTTCAAACACAATATTCTCCACATAATAACTCAAACTGATATTGTACACTTATAATACACTTCATAAGGCAGAGAAACTTGTTAAATAAGGTTGGATGTTTGACTCATACTTCTTTAAATAAAAATATATGTAATATACATGTATTTGCTGCTTCACATCAGAATTAATGATCTAAAAGAAACACCAACTGAATGGTAAAAGTAAGAAAAATAAAACATGCCTTGTGGGCCACTGTGGTACAAAAATAAATAGCAGACTGTTTTGTATGACTTAGCATATATCTAGTGCCATATTCTAAATAAAACTGACAGAAGGTACACATTCAGAAAGAAAAAAATTTTATAGCACAATGTTCAATAACATTCCCATTCCCTTTTGTTACTAAATCCCTAATGACCTCATTAGATGCTAATTCCATACCCTGTTTTTGTGGAAGATAATAATTGATTCATTTAACTGATTAAGTACATGTGTCTTTATATTCAAAGTCAAAAGTGTATAAAAAGATGGAAATGTCTCCAATTTCAGGATCTCATTTTATCCCCCTCCTCAGAAGAATATCCTAAAACAAAGTAGCCCACAAACATCATCACACATATTTCAATTACCATACGAAAATTATGGTAATCAAGCCTGTCAACTTTGAGTGATGAATGCTAAAGCATACACACAAACAATGGATCATCTTTATACTAAGATTTGGAGTTTAATAAAAAGAAAAATGTGTTACAGATGAATCATCTTACAATCTGGATTTAGTCTTGATTAGATAAAAGAATATGCAAATATTATCTTGAGTTTATTAACTTCACATTATCCCATGTGTGGCATAATAGTATACCTCACATATTATGTACATAGTATAAAGGAATAAAAACTTATTTTATCACAACAACATGAATGACCTGAAATTTCAATCTAAATCTTCAATAAATTGTACTAAACTTTTATTCTGAAATTAAAAAAAGTAATTCAGATACTATCACTCCCTGTGCTGATTTTTACACATAAAGGATCTTTTTTGACAATGGAAATTTCTGGTGGTCCATCTTGGGTTAAACTGCAATTATCATTAATTGTCAGATTTTTCAACATAAACATAAAAATATAATAAAAAATTTTTAATCTAAAAATTTCTTGAAAAAATTAACAAAACTGTGCAATAAATGGTATTAAGTTGCACCATTGAATATACTGACCCAAAAGCAACAAATTTAATCTTCTCAACCCTAAGACTTACAGAGAATATCCATTAGTATGTTCACTCTTGAAACTGCCAGAAGATTATATATATATATATATATATCACTACTTACTTTTTCAAGTTAATAATACTTACCTCTCCTTGAACATGGAAGTCATCATGAGAAAGACATTGGAAACGAGTAGTCAGAAAATCAAGATTTTGATTGAGAGGCTCTGCAAAAAGAAGTTTTAACATTCTAGTAATTCTTTAGTAAAATATGAAGTGTTGGTTAAAATTCAGTCCCTGACTTTTACTGCAAATGCATCAACAAAAATATTGAATACAAGTCTAAAGAGGTTATTTCACTGTATAGGTCACTGGTTAGGCCTCATTTGGAGTATTATGTTCAGTCTTGGGCTCCTTACCTTGCAAATGATATAGAATTATTGGCAAGGGTTTAAAAGAGGGTTAGTAGTATGATGCTTAGAATGGAAAGGTTTTATTAAGAGGACATGTTAAGATCTCTAAAATTATTTTCTTTTAAAAGAAGAAGATTGAGAGGATCTGATTGAAGTGTTTAAGATTGTTAATGAAATTGATAGTATCAAAGCATTACATTTTTACAGAATTGAGGAAAAAACAAGACAATTGTACTTTTTCACAAATACATCATTTAATCACGGTCATGATTTCACCATTAAAGGCAACTCCAGGTACAGGCTGAAATGTTTTGTAACAGATTTATATATATGTTTTAAACAAAGAACTGGAAATGAACTTGATATTTTCCTACAGACAAGTGGGAAGGAGTTTCAGTTGGTTTGGTCATTTAGAACTATTCTGGATTTGTTTTTAGACAATTATTTATTTCTAAAATTTCAAGGCTATCTAGTTTTTTTAGCTTTTTTCACAAATATGTAAAATTCTACAGTTTTTTTTTTCTGGTTCAAATTGGTGTTTAGTTTCAATAAGGTGGGATGCAAAGGTTAAATCCATTTTCCTTAATTTCCATCTTCTAGATTGCTCTTTAATTCTTGTTTCTATGGGATATCCTGTCTGACCTATTTATACACTATTGCAGTCTTTACACATTAATTGGTAAACACCACTGTTGCTGTACTTTTTGATTCTGTCTTTGTTGTTGTACAACATTTTCCCTAGATTGTTTTTAGAGTAGAAGGCCAGTGTAGATTTCCTTGTTCAGTGTGTTATATATTTTGTAAGTGGGTTTTCCATCTTAAACCTTTTTTTTTGTTGTTGTTGTTGTCATTTGGTAGAGTATGTGGGTATACTGATTATAAATTTATGGCTTTCATTTTTTTTAAATAACAATGTGTTAACAGCAATTTGTTTTGTTGTTTTTAATTCAGTTTTAAAATCTTCACATGACAAAGGTACAGTGATTAGCCTGTGTAATAAACTATGGAACATGGCAAGTTTGTAAAAAGCATGTATAATGGTGTCACTGTAAGCTGGTTTTCTGAAGATTTTGAAGGAATGTATGCTATTATTCATGTCAATATTTAAGTCCAAAAAATTAATGTTTTCGTTTTCATCAAATTACAGAGTAAATTTAATAAATTTATTTTGTGAATTCAGAAAAGTTAAAAAATTGTTGAGTTGATGTTGGATCCTGTCCAGAGACAAATCACATCATCATCAACATATCTGTACCTATACTTAATGTTTTTTTAGTATATATATACCACTAAAAAATTTCTTCTCTAAATTATTCATGAAAACTTCTCCAAGCAAAGGAGAGAGAGGGAATCCATAGCTAACCTGTTGTTCTGTCTATATATTTGGTCACTACATTTAAAGTAGTTATGATCTAAGCAAGAGGTTTTTATTGTTTTTAATTCCTGAGCTTGAACAGGGTTTACTTTTTTTTTTTTATCCATTAAATTACTTGCAATATGTTTACACTTGTTAACAGGTATACTGGTGAAAAGACTACAAATGTCAATGGAAACAATTCTGACATTATTCGGTATCTCTACATTTTTTCTACAAGTTCCAAAGTTTTTATACCAAACTTAGGTTTAAAACCAGTTGGATTTTTGAAAATATTTTGGGTTTTCTGTGTTAGTTTGTAAGCATTAGTATAGTAAACAACAGGTCTGATAGGGATATTCATTTAGTAAGTCCATACAGACATGGCAGAAAAGGATTTGTAACACTTAACAACTTAATTTGGAGTTTGTTCAGTAGGCTTTTGTCATTGTTCAACAAAGATTTAACATCATTATTAAAGGATTTGGTGTGGTCTATATTTAGAAGCGTGAAAGTGTTAGAACCTAGAAAACTGTTGATTTTACCATGATAATCTTGTTTTTCAAGTACAACAGTTGTATTACCTTTGTCTGCTTTTGTGATTATTAAACTATCAGTTTTACTTTATTTTTCATAGTTAATGGTGAGAATGGTAGGACAAGGGGACAACTTCATTTTTCTAACAGGGCAGTTTGCCTTTGGAATAGGTTGATACAGTAAGTTTAAAAGAGCTCATTAAGAGAAGACTTGGTACATATTTTAATAAGGACTGGCTTTGAGGTTTGTTTGTTTTTTATAAAGTTTAGTGGATGGGATACACTTGTTGCATTAACAGACCCCTTGTTCATAAATGTTATGTTATTTACATTAATGATATTGATAGGTACATAATTAGTAAAGTTTGCTGATGGCATTAAACTTGCATATTTCTGGCTGTATCAAATATGTTGAGGTATTATAGAATGACTTGGATCTATTGTTAATTTCAACAAATATTTGACAAATGACTTACTATATATAGCAAGTGCAAAGTATTTTACTTAAGTTACTGTAATTTTGATCTCATACATAACACAGATGGAAACCAACTAGACATAGTTGATTAACTCAATTAATCAACAATATGATAGTTTATCTATGAGCATCAGTTAATTGATGTCATAAGAGAAACAATCAAAATTGGTGTTTTTAATTATCACTGTTTTTCAATATTCCAACTATTTATGTAATTGAAATATTGGTAATATGATTTATCATTACTATTTTTGAATAATTCAAAGTTGTTCAGCTTAATCAAATGATGTCTGGTGGTGTACATTCATTACTTATATTATCATTACATGCTAATACAATACATATATATAACTTCTATTACTAACAACACAGGTCTGTGATGTTTTTATTGTCTTGAAATATTTACATTATATAGTAATTCCTGTACACCGAATCCAAAAATGATATCCAATTTTCTCCATCATGTACAGATTTTTCACAGAACATCATAATGCAATACATAAAAGAAAGACCACAACACATAGTTTTGAGACTAAAAGTAAAAGAAGAAAATTAAAAAAAAATCATGATGAATGAGGATGCATATTCATTTGACATAAATGTTCTTCCCTTTTCTTCAGTTTGTTTGTATTTTTGTTAACAAACATAATGATAAAAAATGTTCATTGTGGTAAATGAAATAATAATTTGATCTAAGTAAGTTTTTTCTTCCTAATTCGTAAAAAATCCTTATGTGATAGAAAAAAATGAGTATTACTTTCGAAATCGGCATAGTTGAATTATGGAAAATCTGTTATTAAAACCAAAACAATTTTTATAAAGTTTAAATTCAAAGGCCTATGTAATTTACAAGTTTGGTTCTTACAAAGTTACATTTCATGCAATCATCTTTTCCAAGCATAAACTAAAATGTATGATGTAACTCAACAAGCAAGTGATATTGGATTTCCTTGTGCTATATTCTTAAGATAAGAGGAGACAAGCTGATGATTTGAAAAAAGATTAGCTTGGCAATAGGTAAGCTATTTTTCTAACAGGGTGTTTGCCTTATGAAATGAGTTGCTATCAGCAACAGTTGAGGCCAGTACTTTCTATTTCAACTTTTAAAAGAAAATAAATTGATGATTTCATGAAATTAAATGGGTGTATTTAAACGTTTACTTTTTCAAAGATGGGTGTGCAAGGATGGACTTAAGTGCTAAATCATCCCTTGTTGTTCTCACATTTTCCAGTAAAATTATTTTTCCCATTATAATATAAATATTATGCTTATAGTTGTGGAGTTTACTTTATTCTACACTTACAGTGTATATGTATAGATTGTTTTAGATTTGCATATTTTAATTTTAAAGTTTTATTCAATAGGTGAGCTTACCTTTCAAGTTAAGTTGAACCCATAAAGGTAAACTAACAAACAGTTTGATATTTACTAAACTCTAAACTTAGTAAACAGTTTAGTGGGTGACAAATGACCACAATGGATAGGAGCTCGGATGGCCTTCTGTTCTGTTAGTGTTACTCTTGATTGAAAGTTTTCTTTTGTATTCTTAAAAATCATTTCAATACTCTATGATCACAAAAATAAAGTTTGATATAAGAAATTTATAAAGCATCTAACGCTCACGTTAACGGTTAAGCTTACCTGTTCCACTTCTGCTTATCACACCAAAATAACATGGGTCTATAGACAAAGCTTTCAATTTCATTTTGTTTTTTCTTTTTAGTCGAGACTCTCGCCTTTGATCACTAAACTCTTAAAAAATTACTCTTACTTAAGAAAGCAACAAAAATACTCAGTAACTCAAATCACGGGCATTTGTTAACTTGGAATTAGAAAACTCGCCAAACATGTGGCAAACAGCCTCCTTATAACTTTTGTCGTAACGTCGTGTTACTGTTAGTGATACCTAACTAACGCAAGTCCTAACATAACACTCACACGAATTGCAATACTAAAACAAGCACCAGTGCCGCTCAAGTTTTCGCGCAATTTTGTCACATGACCCAAACATCCAAGTGACGTGGTCAGATATTAATAATCCAATGAAATTAAATGTATTGTTATTATCAGTGTTTTATAAATCGTAAATATCAATATCTATTATATAAATGCTTATAACAATTGCACAAAAGAAAATATATGATATCTGTGCGTTTATAATTTGACTACACACACAAGAACAATTAATACAAAACAGTACCTGTAATATGTCTTACAGGTTACCAGTGGTAATATAATCACAAATATTTCAAACAAATACATTTTTCTATCTTGTACCTGATGATGACAAAACCTTGTCGAAACGTTGTACATTTGCTGTCATGTTAAACTTATATTAAAGTTTTTCTTCATTACCCATTTAAGCCGTCTCCAGCCATTATCAGTCTCAAAGTGTGTTCCTCGTCATCGAATTTTTCTATCTCTTGTTACGTATCTGCTTGTTTGTTAATTTCCGGTATAAATTCTTTCCGGAGAACTTCAGCGATACAAGTTCTTTCTTAATTAAACCAGTTTATTTTCTCTCGATACAACTTTTTAATACACATAATTTCCAATCAGTACGTTAAACTCAACTACTTCTATAACACACGCTATAAATCACAGTGATTCACACACTTTATTTACGGTACCTACTGTTCGCTTGACTCAATTATCTATATCTTCAATCCCGCTGGTTTTTCTCGCCAGGTTTATACACTAAAAAAAGAGGATGTCAAGCAAACACTCGGACATTCGCGGGGTTCCTCGATAATTCAAGAAACTCCAGCGCGCATGCTCCCAGCGTCACGCGACTTCCGCTGTCGTAAAACTATTTTCAATAATATCAAAACAGTGAATTCGAAGTTTTTACCACTTCACTGAAAAAGAAGACAAATCTCAATAAAAAATAACATAGAAAAAATATTTAATTAATACTCTTATACTCAGGCCCTTGCACAAAATGTTTGAAAGGAGAGTTTCTCATTTGTGGGATCAAAAGCCAACACATATTGTGCCAAGCACAATCAGCATGTGAAGTATGCTAATGCTACGGAGGTCTGGAGGTATTACCTCAGAAAATTTGTAAAAAAAAAAAGTGCTATGAGGTTAGATATGGAAGCAATATGGCTTGAAATATAGAAGAAACAATTGCATGACTGTTCACACAAACATCCAATGAAAATTCCATAAATCATTCTGTTGTAAAACTGCATGGCGAGCTAGAATTAAATATTGT